TATCCATCTCTTACGTACACACACTTACACGCGAACAGTAAATGAGGACAAATTAGGAAAACGATAGCAGCGACGTCTACGGAATATTTTCGAATATGACCATGGCATTTTTCTTACATTACTTAAGATTAAGAATTCTTATGCGTTTTGTTGGCCCTATTTTAACCAAAGTAATTATTTAAATTGCTTTATCATTTTTACGTAAAGTGTGGTCGAATAATTACTTTGTTCCAACTAGAACCAACTAAAATATATATGGATTAACATAATAATTACCAAAGTACTTAAGTTGCGCCAACAGTTCCCCGTGGTCGCTTCATGAGCCGCCGAGAATCAAATCCGATTATTCGAAGTTTCAATATATAACAAAATGATGGAAATTTGACGAAGTTGAAGGTCGAAATGATTATTTGTTGTCCCAATAGATTATTTACATTCCGTATTAAACCTTGCCAGTGGATCAACACAAGTTTACAATATTATTAAATGTTATGTTTTCATCCTTTGTAAATAATTTTCACCCACATATTAAACGTATACTATAAGCTCACTATAATACAAAATATAAACATAAAGGTTTAAAACATATTCTGTAGGTAACTTTTAAATTATGTTAAGGTTTTTTAAATTTATTATTTCCTTTACAAATAAATAGTTCTTTTTCGATTATACAACTTATTAGTCGATAGTACATAGGCAGGGACACACTTTTGTACATATTTATAAATAAATTATTTTTATACTTATTATCTCATACTATACATTCACACTAATAAATACATTCACACAATCTCAACAAGTATTATATAAGATAAAAGAGTATGTCTCTTCCGAAAATCAGAACATGGGAGCCAAACGGTCTCTACTTGGTTGAAAGAAAAATAAGCATAGAAAGTTATGTAGATGGTAGCTATGTAGGTAGAGAGAAAAATAGAAATAAAGTAAGTAATTATATATTGTAAAAATAAGTTAAAAGAATAACTGTTAATTTACAATTCTCATTTGTCCTTTCGTTTTCGATCCTTATCAAAGGTAAGGCAATGGTAATTCCCTATTAAATAACTTTCCGTTTTACAAAAGGATAGAAAATTAAAAAGTACATTGTCAAACAAATCGGAGGAAACTTTTCATCCGTTCTCTCCTTCTCATTTACTTAATTAAAGAAGGTTTTTTGTCATAATGCTTTAAAAGAGGGAGTGGCTCTTAAAAAAAAGAACATTTGGAAATTTTCCACTCCTTTTTGACAAAAAAAAATCAACGGTTTTCTTATTAAAAAAAAAGTTTTATTGTTTTTATATTTGGGAAATGGATATGATAACAGATAAAAAAACAACGTGTGAGCTTTTCGTGGCTGATATTTAATCTGTTAACATTAAAATCTGCGCATAAAAAATATATACATATTTCCACCACTCATCATAAGAGTTATATTAAAAACAATTTTCAAAACGAATCGAAAGAAACATCTTTGCACTCGGAATACATTTATTCATCATATGTTTAAAATAAAATAAAAAGAAGATTGAAACGTTTTTAGGAATGACAAAGTTTCTTTCTTGTTTTAACAAGACGGCCGAAAATTAGTAACTCCAAGGTCCTGCTGCAATAAACCCCATTCCAATTTAAACGGGGAGAGCGTCGTAACTCACCTCGGCTTTTTCTTTTCAGCGCGGGGCACACCTCGTAATTGCCGGGCAAAAAGAAAAACGACGTCGCAGCGGAGTATTCCGGTTAATTAAACCGGAAGTCTGGGACGACGAAGGATGGGGCAGATTAGGACGACGCACCGGCCCGTTTTGCCGGGCCTTCCAAAAGCGATTAGCATATTTCAATACCGGCCATTTATTCCATGGGCACAATGAAAGGACGACCTTATCGGCCACCACGGGGGAGGGAAGGCAATTTATCAAAGCCTGCATAAATTAAGTAAAAAGAAGGCGAATTTTTCAAAAATATTTTTATATCGACTAACTTTTATGTAAAACAATTGCAATATTTTGTTGAAGTCATGGGAGCGGCAAAGAATGAGGTTGTTTAAAAAATCACGTTCCATTTTTTCCGACGTTTCGGCCTTTAAAAGTAATAAATATAAATTTTGAACCAAGTATTTCACACATTTTAAATTGTATTTCTTTTCCGATCAACCTAGGTTTTGTAATTGACCCAGTCCCTGAAATTGACCCTAGGTGAAAAGATCGAAACTTCGGCAAAAAAAAAGGTGTTTTTTTAAACTACCTCATTCTTCACCGCTTCTCACGACTTCACCAAATTATGAAACAGATATCAGCAAAAAATTAACCAAGTAATTCATAGGGCAGTGAGCGAGTAGCAATGTGAAGAAACATTCCTGAGTATGCGTGACGACCTCGGAGAATCTGCCAAGGCTAAGAATACGAACATGCAGGCTATTCAAAAGAGATCAACGGACAAAAAGCGCAATGAAGATCGGGTGGCACACACAGTTTTCATCGGCATCCAAAATTAAGTGAAGGTTTTTGCCCCAATGCGAAAGTACTGAATGACTTTTAATGAAAATATACAGCTGTAGAGCTTTGTAAGAAATACAACTTTTTGAAAAATTTCATGGAGAATTTGTGATGTGATTAGGTCAAAATCGTAACCTTTGTGATTTGCTAAGCGTGGCAGGAATATTTGAAATCAGCTGGAGTGACGGCTTTCGTGGGAGAGTAGAAGTTATTCATTCTACTTCGATTGAAATATTGGCAGGCTCAGAATAATGAATAAAGGTTTCGTGGATTTGGAGAACCAAAGGATCAATAATTATCCGTAATTATATTTTTTTTAAATTTTATAATTACTCCTGCAACCCTACTTGAAATATGTAAATTTGGTAATATTATAAACAGGGTGTTCGGCTACTAGTGTTACAAACTTTTCCAGTAGATTTTACATCCCAAATGGAACCAAAAAAGTCCTAATTAAATATGGTCCGAATCTCAACAATTTCCAAGTTATTTCAGTTTTTCTGATTTTTTAAGATTTCACCACCTTGCTTCAAATAAACAAAGATAACTCCAAAACTAAAATGTTTTGGACAAATCCGTTGGAACCACTGAAAATTAAATTAAGTTTCCAATAAGCTGTGATCAATACTAAACTTGTAAACGTTAGGGAAATAAGCGTTTTAGTAGCGAGAACTTTGAAAAAAAAATTTTTTTTTCAAAGTTGAAAACCTTTCTATGGTGATTCCAAAGTACTATTTTCAAACCTACATATCAGCAAATTTCAGAAAACGTACTGCATTTAATATCCTTTTTAGTGGTGCAATTGCTTTTTAAATTACTTTTTTCAAAGATGAAGGATTTAATTGATCAAGGAAAAGAAAAAACCGCGGTTGAAGGATTGGCAAGGTGGATAATTAAAAAAAATACTTAAGAAAATTTTGAATGAAATTATTAAACCTTTTAAAATTATCAAATTCTCAATTTTTTCATGTAGCCAAAACTTCGGAAAAAATTCCAAGTTGAAAAATTTACTATGGTGATTTTAAACTACGATTTCCAAACCTAGAGACCATTCAAATTTCTGAAAACGTACTCCATTTAATGTTTTTTTTAGAGTTGCAACTATTTTTTTAATTACTTTGTTGAAGGATGAATAAATTGAAGAAAAAATAATTTAAAACGTTTAATAATTTCATTCAAAATCTCATTAAGTTTTTTTTTTAATTGTCCACCTTACCAATCCTTTTTACTACGGTTTTTTCTTTTCATTGATCAGTTTCTTCATATTTGAAAAAAGTAATTAAAAAAGCAATCGTACCCCTAAAAAATAAAAAATAAATTTCAGAAAAAGTACTCCATTTAATATTCTTTCTAGTGGTGAAATTGGTTTTTTAAATTACTTTTTACAAAGATGAAAAACTTGATGAAGGAAAAGAAAAAACTATGGTTGAAGGATTGGTAAGGTGGAAAATAAAAATATTAAAAAAAACTTAAGGAAACCCAAATTAAAAAAAAGTTTAATAAATTCATTCAAAATTTCCATTTTTTTAAATTTTCCACCTTGCCAATCTGTCAGCCACGGTTTTTTTCTTTCCTCCATCAATGAAGAACATCTTTGAAAAAAGGTAATTAAAAAAGCAATTACACCACTAAAAACGAGATTAAATGAAGTACACTTTCTGAAATTTGCTGATCTCTAGGTTTAGAAATAGTAGTTAAGAATCACCATAGTAAATTTTTCCACCTAAAAAAAATATTTTTTTCAAATTTCTCGCTACTAACTATTAATCACATCATATTTGAAAATTGCCGTACTTTTCAATGATCTAGACGGATTTTTCAAAACCCTTTTAGTTTTCGAGTTATCTTCGTTTATTTGAAGGAAGGTCGTGAAATCTTAAAAAATCAGTAAAAGTGGAATAACTCCGAAACTTTTGAGATTCGGACCATATTTAATTAAGACTTTTTGGTTCTATTTCGAATGTAAAATCTATTGGAAAAGTTTGTAGCACTAGTATCCGAAAACCCTGTATAGCATGTAATAAAAATTTAATTTGATATACATTACAGAACGTGCTTACTGGTAACACGCCATCGCCATTTTATTTTTACCGCTTAATTATACGGAAATAAACATCCTTAAAAAATGCATAATTGTGTTCGTTATTTGGACTGATGTATTGGAAGTATTTGCCAATTTTATTCGTTATTTGTAGTGGGGATTGGACCAAATTTTGGTGTTTATAAAGTAATTCACTGTTAGAGTTATATACTCTTTTACTTTTTTCTTTTCCTTTTTGTAAAACGTATGTTGTAAAATAATGGAGAAGTATCCATCACCGATGTCACGGGATACCGCAATTTGTAAGGAATACTGCAGCTCAGGGCCCAACAATTTTCTCCCGGCCGGACATAAATTCCGGCTCGTGGCTACCTCCTCGCCTCTCAGGGTTTTCTCATCCCCCTTGGACCTTTCTGCGCGCTGACTGCTCGATGTATTACGTTGAAAACCAATAAAACTTGTTTCACTTTCAGGCGCAGTGCATGTCGGAGATGGCGGGAGCCAGAATGGTCAACGGGTCCGCGCGGTTCAACTGTCAGAGCAGAGCGCTCATTCCGACGGCCAGGGGATCGGTAACCAGTTCATCAAGCGACGAAGAAAGGCGTAAGTACCATTTAAACAAAGTCACAGGACAGCTTAATAAATATGTAATAATGCACTGACAAAAATCAACACATTTTCGAAAACCTACTATCATTATATATAATTTTCTTCCTCAATGGAATTTTTTATTTTAAATTAATTAAATTTCCTTAACGGCCCTAAATTAAAATTTAATCACATCGATAAATTTTCATATTTTTTATGGTATAAAAAGTTTTTTGAATTTAAAAATATTTTATGAAATTCTTTACCTTCGGAGGTTTCTGGTTTTACGACGCCATAAAGAATAAAATACGATTTACTCTTCATTTCTCCGGTTTCATGTGATGAAGAAACATCATCACCTTCGTGCCTCTAACAGAAACGAGGGTCAGAACAAATCGAGATTTGAATCGAACTTCCAATTCCCTTTTCGCAAAATATATCGCGACATTTTCATCCCTGGAGCGGCTTTTCGGCGCCGGAAAGATACCGCCCCCATTGTTTAAACGGACCGGGGGCGATTCGAAATTTTCAAGAGTGATAGATTTAACTTTGTGAAAAAGGGGTTTGTCGAGGGTTGACAGGCTGTGGACACCGCGTTGGAGGAGCAGGCTGTTTGCAGAAAGAGACTGTAAACACTTTCTGGCGGTTCCGCCCACCGAACGTCTGCAAACAATGACTACCGGATGTATTTTTTTTTTGCCTTTGTTACCGTATGCTGTTTTGAAATTTCTTATCCGAAAGCAGTTAAACCTTCTAGAATATCAAAAACTTCAACATATATCTATATATTTATCTATTATATTTCTTAGTTCATATCCAAAACATTTATTTGAGGACGTAATGAAATATATTTTAAACAAAGCTCTTTAAAATAAAGATACAGCAGAAAAAAAACATCCTCAGAAAAAATCAATGCATGTCTCTTTTGGTAGTAATAATTTGCAATACGTTTTGTCTTTATATCACGGCGCCAAAAGCTACCTCACCCGCAAAGCAGCACGTTCTTCAGAAATAGTAGCCTTTAGCGCCGCGATCTGAAATTTCTAAAATGAACTTGCAATTTGTATAATTAACATCAAATTGTTACCAACATTTACTGGAAGGACAGAAAGAAAGATAGATAGATAGATAGATAGATAGATAGATAGATAGATAGATAGATAGATAGATAGATAGATAGATAGATAGATAAATAGAAAGATATATATATATATATAGAGAGAGAGAGAGAGAGGGAGAGCCGACGAAAAATAAGTGAATAGAGAAAGAAAGAGAGAGAGAGCGACGAAAAATTAGATAGTGAAAGAAAGAAAAGAAAGAAAAGAAAGAGAGCGAGAGATAGAGAGCGCGAGAGGGTGAGAGAGTGAGAGAAAGAGAAAGAGCGAGGAAAATAAGAGAGTGAATACAGACAGAAAAAGGGACAGAAAAAGGAAGAAAATAAAGAACGAGAGAGAGAGAGAGAGAGAGAGAGAGAGAAAATGACAGGCAGACAGAAAGACAGAAAGTGGAGAAAATAATAGAGTGAAATAGAGAAAGAAACAGAGACAGTGAAAGAAAAAGAAGAAAGAGAGAGAGATAGTGAAAGAAACAGAGATAGTGAAATAAAGAGAATAAAGAGAAAGAAAGAGAGAGAGAAAACGAAGAAAAATAAGAGAGTGAATACAGAAAAGAAAAGGGACAGAAAAAAGAAAGAAAATAAAGAACGAGAGAGAGAGAGAGAGGGAGAGAGACAGACAGACAGAAATCGGAGAAAATAATAGAGTGAAATAGAGAAAGAAACAGAGACAGTGAAAGAAAAAGAAGAAAGAGATAGTGAAAGAAACAGAGACAGTAAAATAAAGAAAAGAAAGAGAAAGAAAGAGGAAGATAAGAAAAATAAAAGAGTGAAATAGAAAAAGAAAAAGAGACAATTTAAAAAAGAAAGAGTGAGAGAGAGAGATAGAGCGAAGAAAAATAAAAGAGTGAAATAGAAAAAGAAAAAGAGACAATTTAAAAAAGAAAGAGTGAGAGAGAGAGATAGAGCGAAGAAAAATAAAAGAGTGAGATAGAGAAAAGAACAGGGACCGAGACAGAAAGAAAAGAAAGAAAGAGAAAGCGGCGGATAATAAGATAATGAATAGAGAAAGAAAGAGAAAGAAATAGAGAGAGATAAACCAAAGAAAATAAGAGGGTGAGATAGAGACAGTGAAAGAAGGAAAAGAAAGAGAGGGAAAGAGAGAGAGAGACGAAAAATAAGATAGTGAATAGAGAAAAAACAGAGAAGTGTAGAGAGAGAGAGTGAGAGAGAGAGAGAGACAGGAGAGAGAAAGAGGAGAGGGAAGCATAAAGGAAGAATAATGTTTGTCTTTTCTTTTTTTTTTTAGATTTGTTCATTCACAAAAATGGATTTTTTTTTTTAAATTTCGATTTTGCGTCGTTTCACATGAACTAAAGTGGACTAGCATATCAGGAAAGAAGCGTGTAAACACTGATTATCAACGTATGACGAAAAATCATAAGCTCATGGTATGTAATATATAAGTGTGTCTCTACGCCTGTGAAATTTGTTAGGAGTTCTATCATTCATTTCGTTTATTCTCATATTTTACCGTTATTCTTATATATTAAAGACTAAATATGTAGATTAGTGAAAATTTCCTTTCAATAAATCAATTTATTCTATTTATTTATTCCGTCGCGATTCGGTCAATTATTGTAATTTGGCGGGGAAAAAAATTTTTCACGCTTTTCAGACTGGAAAGGTCAAAATTTGAGATCTTCTCTTCAAAGATTTCAGAGTTAACAAAGTGGTTTATTGAACGCTCTCGCTAATTAATGCCCGCTGAAACCCTTTTTGATTTGCTTTCATAACTCCGAAACTCTTTGTATTGAGCATAATAACAGTTCTTTTCTATCGTTAAAATTCTCGTTTCGAAAAGGCAGAGAGTGAGAAAAAGAAAGAAAAACACTAGTGACGGAATTCCGAGGCGTTCAATATAAATATTTATTATAATAAATAGCTGATATGGGTTTTACCATCTCTTCTATCTCTGCCCAATTACGACTTAATTGAATAACCTTGTATTGGAATATCGATATTCGAATCGGTTTGGAAAAAAAGACTAAAAAGCACTGTCAAACCTGCTATATAATTTTTATTAAAGGAAAGAAAATAGAGAATACAATTAATACTATAGATTACCTACTTTTTCTACAAACCCTGTGGACTATGCATACGAACCATTTTGTCTATTCTTGGCCAAGATCCAGATAATTATTAAGTATAAAAGTAGATAGATAAAAAAAATTTATTCGAAATGAGTTATAAATATTAACATAGTATATTACATTAAGATTACAATATAGGTTTCCCAAAATGTAAGGATTAGAAGTTATTTCACATTGTAAAAGGGATTTTTTTAATAATTTTTCCGCTTATGAAAATTATGAGATTATGTGTAGACATTTCTCATATTCCAAAATACAGCAAAATCTTATGACAAATAAATCGTTACGATTAAATGTTTTTGCAATTTTTTTTATAAAATACAACTAAGTTTAGTAGGCCTGTTCTATTCACTGTTACAAAATCACTGACCCTTTTATAGCTTTTTAAATTTTCTATTAAATATTTGACGTTATTATAGGTAGTCTGTAGGTTTTTAGGTAAACTACGTACTGTACATCACCTTGAATTTACGAAATAGAGACTTACAGTGTTCTTTGCAACTACTATTACATATGTAGCGCAAAGCACGTTTTTTCTAATTTAAAATCTTCACAGCATAGTTTTTTCCACCCCAGAATTGTACGCCACACCTAGTGACATGCGATACCAATCGGGACGAGTAAAGGATCGAGTATTTTCTTTCGATACCGAGTACTTTTGGCATCGAATATGAAAATATTCATTCAATAGTCATTCGATTCAAGTATTGTATCGAATACTTTTTGAAGTATCGGAAAATACACTCAAATAGATTTTTCGTCGAGTGTTAAGTAATATAACCGTTCAAAACTTACGTTTCATCAAACTGGGAGTTGACTAGTTACTGTTAGGAGCGCCTACTAGCGGCATGTGTCAACAAAGTTAATCGAGATTTCGACTCTGGTTGTTAACTCTGCTGATAATTCTGGTAACTCTTCGTAATTCTTTTTCGCGTTGCACCTCGCACTTTCAATTTCAGTAATTTCTTGTAAATGTTTTTGTCTTCAAGTCCCTAAAGTGTGTTCGCCTTCCTTCTCGTAGATAGATACCTAATCATGTATTTTCCCAAAACTAAAGCATGAGGTTATTTTACTGAGAAAACTGAATCTTAGGCATCTTGTAAATTCTGGGGAATACGGTGGGAATGTGTTTTATCAATCAAACAGTTGAAAACAAAACACCCTTTGATTAATCTCAAAACTCGATAACGACAAAATCGAAATATCTATTATGTTGAAATATGATGGCAGCTTTTCCTTGTTCATACGCACTCACTGTATGAAAAAATACTTTAAAATAAAAAAACAACCTGCCATTTGTTTCATTATTTTAACCCATGAGCGTATTTTTCTCAAAGTCCACAATAGAAAGTTGATCATTTATGAATACACGAAAAACTACTCATGTGAATAAGTATTCGTTAATATCTAATAATTTCTGCCGATACTTGACTAGTATCGAATATTTCTTTCGAATATCGCACGCAAAATCTATTTTCTAGTATCGCACGCCATAGCCATAGCTGGTTACGCCTTGGAAAAGACCCATGTACAGCATTCCCAAAGTGTCATTGTTTACTTAATTCAAAATTTATAAATAACCAACCATATCAATGTGACTATGCCAACTGAAATTATTTTGAAGGTTGAACCTTATGAATTTAACAAGATGTTAAGTCCCTTTAGACAAAAACTTATCAACTAATTTTTTTTCAACATTTAAAACCAAACAACCGGAGAAAATTTTTTTAAAAATTATTATTTATTTTTATTCCGATTGTAATTATTATTTACAATATGTAATTTGCGGATACATGAACTTATGTACA